TCACCTTGGAGGTAATTTAAACTAACTGTTACTCAATTACGGGGTTTGTAATTAAGTGTTCTGTCGTTTTTTTAGGTTTACATGTTAGGCATAGAACGCATATTTCTATCCTCAGTCCTTAGCTTGGTCAATGTCGAATTCTTCATAATAATTGCAAAGCATTCAGCTGAATAATGAGTGTCTGTGTAAGTATTGGAATATAGATAAATGCCTTGTACAGTCAACACTTCTATCGCCACGTGTTCAGACATGCATGTGCATCTAAATTTTGTAAGAACCGAAATTCACAAAACGATGGTATAGTTATTAATACTGGAATATTTTACTCTAAATATATAGCAGTTTCGTAGTGGTGTTCATACAAAACATGTTCAGTACAGTGTCCGTGACTCGTAGATAACTCGGCAGCAAAGGCCAACCCACTAATAAACGTGTGTACATAACCTCACAATACTGCAACGTAATAAAAAACAAAAAAAATATATTTGAGTGCCAATCAAATGTTTGGTAGGGGAAACAAAAGATTTGGTAGATAACGAAAAATTCTGTCGTTAAACCAGAATATTTAGTTGGGGCAACAAATAATTTGGCAGATGCAACAAATAATTTGGCAGAAGTAACAAAACACTTGTCTCTACTAAGCAATTCAAATGTTTGTTGCAAACAAATAAACCAACATATTAAATTAATTTTGTTTCAGCAAACAAAATATTTCACTGCCCCTATACAAACAAATGATTTGGTTGGGCAACAAATAATTTGGTAGATGTAACAAATTATGGTCGAAGTAACAGAAGATTTGTCTCTACTGAACAAACCACATGTTTCTTTGCAAACAAATAAACCAACAAATTAATTTAATACGGTTTCAAAAACAAAATATTTCACTATGCAAACAATTGATTTGCTTGTGGCAAATAATTTTTTTTAACTAAAAAAATATTTTTCTCAAAGTACTGCTGCCAGGTTAAAAACTTTTATGAAATACTTCCAAAAATTACGGCCATGTAAATATTTTAGGTTAGAACCTTTAGACGTATTGTAATCAAACTTACACAATTTCGGTATCTAATGTGAACATTTCACGACTTTTTTTAAAGCTATTTTCTACTATAGCATTATCTGCGAAAATAAATCTTGTATGTTATATAACGGGATCAATTAAACCGATCGCTACCAAATTTGGTACACATGTCGCACTAAGCAGGCCGCATAAAGTTTAATAGCTCAAGGACATGTTTTAAAATGGCAGCTTTATAAATATATAATGTTATTATTCCATACTTATCGGACCATAAACCATATTTTTATCAAATATAGTAGGGTTGCCGGACGTGTACGAGCATTTTATTTGCAAATTGATTACTCTTTACCCGCCATTTTGTAACAAACAATCTGCTGGAATATATAGCGTTCAAGCCATATCTCACAATCCAAGGAAACGAATCCCAAAAAAATTTGACATAAGTGCAACTAGAGACAACTTGAATCATGGAATCATAAATTTATATACAATTATTTTATAAATGGCAGTCTTATTGTTCTTTGTGTTCAATATTTTATCTCTGGAACAATAAAATCGATTTCATATTAGCGATTCTATTCGTGTGCACTTAACATATTTACTGAACTGATAACTTCTTTAGTGTGCCATGTTGAAAAATGCCACCATTTTGCATGCAACCCGAGAATGGACTTCTCATTAAATTTGCTGTAAAATAGTGTGTTATTTTCAATATAGAGGGTTTGTTCTTGTAGTATTGTTACATGTAGCCACTCCGCTTACTATCCCTTGCTCTTACCGAGGTTGTGCGAAGCGCAGGGCTCCAATGGCATCACTGGTAGCCAGAGAAGCGCGTGCAGTGTTACAAACGCACCGCCGAGTGACACGTGCGCCGCGATCAAGGCTATCGGGACCGATGCAGCACCCGTCCGTGGAAGATTGAGTGCCTTAAGACAGTCGCTGCGCGAGTTTTCTGGTCGTCATCCCATTTTCCCCTTCGACGCGACTCGGGCTGTGGAGAACCTTCTGGGCCAGGCTAACTGAACTATATAAACCGCGGAGTGTCCTTGTGTCGGGAGTTCATTTAGTTGCAGGTTCTACTGGAGAATCGGGGGAAGAGGCCCAATTGCGCCACTTCCCTCACCAGAGTGGTGTGCAAGCACTACTCTGGTTAAAGCCAGCGTGCTCTCCCACAAAATCAAGGCAATTGGAAAATAAAGTTCCTGTAACCTCTCTACTAGTCTTTCATCTCTACTAACAACAGCATGTTTCCACCCACTCTATCTCCTGTAGCATTTCTGAAATTTTTAATTCGTTTCCTGTCGACTGGGTTTTTACTGTGTCTATGCCGGTTTTTCCCAGTCTCTTTTTAGTTATAGTTTAATTATAGGTATACTTAGGGAGGTAGTCATGGCCCCAATTGCCGGCCATGGCTGCCTAATCCCTCTGCCACGATGCATGTCTCCTTGCATTATTTATTTCCCTTGTAGGAGTAGGGGTTCGCCCTGAGACGCATTTAGTCCCCCGATCATACCTCGGACGTACATCTAACACTTAGAATTAGGGTACGTTAAGGGGGAAAAAATACTGTCGGGAAGTCTGGAATCTTGTACAGTTGTTAGCGCCAGGTGTGTGGTACCATCAGAGCGATGATCTACGACAGTGACTAATAAGTGTGGTTTGTAAGCAAGGGGAGGGCAAAGAGACACTAACCGGCTGGACTATGATGGGAAAGTGGGACTTTATTTGAGTGGTAGACTTTTGGAATGATATTAATGTATGGCAATGGACATTTTGATCGCATATATGTAGATAATTACTGACCTAACTGGTATAAAGACAGTGATAAAGAAATTAATCGTAATAAAGGTTTTCATTGAAAATTGCGCTTACTGTATTAATGGGGTTAAATTTTAATAGTAGAGGTAGCTGGTTTAATGCTGTAAATGATTGCTTTGTGTGTTATTTATACTGTTGTAAATTAATTAATTAATCAAATTTATCCTTTTATTTTTATTAAGACCTCCATCCTTCACGAACTCAGATACCTCTAGTACCATTAAACCGATTTAATACTAACATTTTTGTGACTATACGGGGCAGGTTTTGCGAACTCGATTGACTAGCATTGCCGAACTACATACCGATATTTTGAAGAACATCATAGACAGGCGATAGTGCTCACATATTTGACAGGTTTAAATGCACACGTATGTTATTCAGTTTTGTACAAGAAATTCACATACAGGTGTAAGCGCGCACACACATTTGATAAAGTTGCTGCAAGATGTGTTCAGCGATATTGCTATATACGTATTTACTACGGCTAGATCATGGTTATTAGACCATATTTAACAAAGTTAAAAAAAAAAAAAACATCTTGACCGCAACTGCATACACAGGATGTTTCAGAAAGGTGTGTGTTAGTTTGGGAAGACAGTGCCTTACGAGAAATTAAGTCAAAAAACTTATCAGGGTTTTTTTTTTCTCGATTAAGTCAAAATCGTGACTGTTATGCGCCCATGAAAATATAATTTTACAATTGCGTTTCATTTAATATGAGAAAATTTTTGGAGATAAAGAACAAAATTATGAACAGTGTTAAAGAAAAGGAAGCTCTTTTACTTGTGGGGTTTCCGGTGGTAAATCCATCCTACCCTCAGCACGTACGTGGAATTACCTACATTGGGCATTGGGGTCGACTACCTCTTGTACTTGTGGGGTTTCCGGTGGTAAATCCATCCTACCCTCAGCACGTACGTGGAATTACCTACATTGGGCATTGGGGTCGACTACCTCTTGTACTTGTGGGGTTTCCGGTGGTAAATCCATCCTACCCTCAGCACGTACGTGGAATTACCTACATTGGGCATTGGGGTCGACTACCTCTTGTACTTGTGGGGTTTCCGGTGGTAAATCCATCCTACCCTCAGTACGTACGTGGAATTACCTACATTGGGCATTGGGGTCGACTACCTCTTGTACTTGTGGGGTTTCCGGTGGTAAATCCATCCTACCCTCAGTACGTACGTGGAATTACCTACATTGGGCATTGGGGTCGACTACCTCTTGTACTTGTGGGGTTTCCGGTGGTAAATCCATCCTACCCTCAGTACGTACGTGGAATTACCTACATTGGGCATTGGGGTCGACTACCTCTTGTACTTGTGGGGTTTCCGGTGGTAAATCCATCCTACCCTCAGTACGTACGTGGAATTACCTACATTGGGCATTGGGGTCGACTACCTCTTGTACTTGTGGGGTTTCCGGTGGTAAATCCATCCTACCCTCAGTACGTACGTGGAATTACCTACATTGGGCATTGGGGTCGACTACCTCTTGTACTTGTGGGGTTTCCGGTGGTAAATCCATCCTACCCTCAGTACGTACGTGGAATTACCTACATTGGGCATTGGGGTCGACTACCTTTTTTTGGTCTCTTATTTGGAACCCCCATTTCGGAATGTTTCTGTTTAACTGCAAAAATGGGCCACCTTCTTCTCCACTATTTTAACCCTCTATGTACAATTCACACCATGTGTTATTCGACGAGATTTGTAACAAAGTTACGCATTAACAATTTACTCATAAAATGAATTAGGTAGTTATGATGTATCGGATCAGAAAGTCACAATTCAGTCTAGACAGACAATTTCAGTTCGAGTACAACAGTTCTTCGAAATATATTACAAACGACTAAGTTCTGATATATAGGACACTATACAAGAAATGTAACAAATTATTAGAAATGCCAACAATGTCTTGAATTTGTACAGTACATATACGTGGGCTGTGCAGGATTTGACGGTTTTAAAAATAGAATATATTATAATTATTTGTTCATCAGCATTTTGTTATTGAATTCATCACATTTTTAACTTCCGTGTTATTAACAAAAATGCGCATTTGTCATGTAATTGGATATCATACGGTATTAGTCGCTTGTTTTACGTTGCTTTCGAATTCGAATCATGTATTAAGGCTCTACTTTAAAATGTCCTCCGAGCCGGATTTGAACCAGCGACCAATGGCTTACCATGCAATACTCCATTGCTACAGGTCTACCAACTGAACTACCAGAAGGGCACCAGTAGTTTCGCTTACAATACACCCTTTTCATTGTCAATTCTTATCTAGTCTGCTGTAGCCTTGTGTTTCGTCGAGAAGATCAAAATTATTTTGTTGAAAAAACTGAGTTATAGGTAGTCAAAATTGACTGGCACCAACACTTAACGTAATCCACAAAAGGCACAGACTACGATGAATCAAAGTATTTTTTTAACATTTCAATTTTTCTTTTCATTTTTTTTTACATATGAAAAAGCTATAGCCACCAATTTCATTACGTGCACAGCTTAATTAATATGAAAATTTAATAATTTCTTCGAAACCCGAACTTGTACGACTATTCAATTATTTTACAATTGTCAATAACCACACATTTTGGTCATATGAATATTTTAAAAAATTTCATATATTTTTGGACAATTTATTCATATTAGGTCTTCAAAACTAAAAAATAAATGTATTGTCACAAGAGACAAGTACGGCACCTACGTTTGCCCCTGAGTACGACGAAAAATGTATGCTTCTTATCAAAGTACACATACAAAATTTGCTTGAAAACATGTTACGTAATTCCATAACACAGTGCGAATGTAACAGTGCGATTGTGGAGTTAGTTGAACCCTGGATAACAATCTGACGTAGAAGGTTTCAAGATCCACGAACGGGCAGCCGTCAGTAATTACGAGACCCGTCGGATTCAGCCGCGGCATCTTGAAAATCTTGAAATGGGAATTCGTTGGAGTGGCATGAGGCAGGGGTGAGGAGGTTGTGTAATCTCGACGTTGTTATCTCGGTAATGAGCAAAGGCAGGGAGCGGTTGGAGGGGAGGGCTTGGTTGGTAGTGGGGAGGGGGTAGCAATGGAGGGGAGGGGGTAGGCAGGTTGTATCTGCCACCTGCGGCCGTCCAATTAGGCATTGTTTGGTAACACAATTACCTTATTGCTCGCTCGAGCGTGCAAGACTACGATTGCCCCCTTCTGCGTCTGCTGGTGGTCAGGGCACTCACTTTCTTAACCTTGCGAAGGGGAAAAGGGAGTTATTCTAGTGCTCGTTAATGACATCCTCCACTTAAGCCCAACTTACACGATACGCCCTGTCTCGCCAATGGCTTTAGAAGCCCGCCTTCGGAAACCATGCAATAACGCAGCTAAGTCTAGACTATCTCGCTCGTAAAGGAAACATGGGGGGTAGAGTGCGCATGCTAATTGCACAGTAGAAATACTTCCCATGTTCCAACATTGTACTGCTTTCCTGCCAATAGCACTAATTACCAGCGTGGGTAGAACTTAGAATTACAACACTGGTTATGTCAATTTTAGAGATGTTTCCACACTTCTGCTACCTAGTTTTAATGCCTTCACAACATATTCTAATTAGTTAAAATATGTTATTCATGTAAATGAGTGAGTCTGTTGAGACTCTGTTCATCCACAACAGGTTCATCACTGTTGAACATGTGTCTTGTGGACATCCATAGGAAACGAAAATCAGTCTATAGGCTATTCACGGTAAAGTGAACATTTTTTGAAACCCTCTCATTTGGAATAATAGTCAGTAAATATATTTGATTGTACCCTTAGACGTTACATATTTTTGAGTCCAGTGAAATATACACAATTTGTTTATTACTTACATGACAATATTCGTCTTAAAATTTGGCGAAACTATTTAATATATATATATATATATATATATATATATATATATATATATATATATATATATATGGCTGATACGAAAACAGTAACTAGGGCCTCAAAAGTTTGCTCACTTTACCGTGAACAGCCTATACCTCATCATTAGTCTATGATCTCGCTCGCTTAAGGAAATTGCAGGTTGCAAGGCGCTGCCAGCCCTACAAAAAGAAAACTAAATTAAAAATATTTGTTTCCCTCTTACGACATTTACGGGCTGATTATGTTTTTGTTAATCTTCACTGAGTTCCTGTGCTTTGTACGTACGTTTAGGCCTCAATAAGATGAAGGGATATAGATTATAAAGAATTATACAGAATACCAACTTGCTGACAAAAACGATAGGATTCAGAAAATTGTTGCAAAAATTTTGAATACCTAGTCATTAAAATTTATTAGCGATTAAACGCGAGAGTATTGAACACGTTAAAGCATTACAAAAGTGGGTAAACGTGCCCTTATTTTCCAATCAAGCATGAATGCGAAACGTTTTCAAAATGCACTGCCGTTAATCAATTTGGCGAAGACCCAAGTGGAAACGCGATCATTCGAATGCTGCCATACATTTGCCTTGAGACCTCGCGCCTCGGCTGGTTTGTAAGCAGGTTTCTTCGAATCGTGCGAGTTCAGCTTTATTGCGTCTTAAACCTCTTGAGGAGTGTGCACCTATATACTCGGGGCTAGGTTTATATGGTAACTTCTCTGCGCTTGAAAACAAAACTCGCAATTTCTTAGTGTCACCGTTTCCCAGCACTTTATCGAAATCTAAGTAAAAAATTACAACTAGCCAACAGTTCATTTCATAGCAACGAAACTGTTCTTTTCAATAAGTTCTCAAACGAACACGATGCATTGGGAAACCTGTTCGGACCACATTAACTGGTACACAGTCAATGCGTGACTTCATTGGCCGACGCCCAGCCAATAATAAACGTTGTATAGTGCAGTAGGCGTGTCCGGTGTAGCCAGGGCCAATAGGACGATCGTAATTGAATATGCAAGAGACCAACAGAACTTATATTGCTGTAGTGGAGAATAAACGCAGCTCACTTCAACCCTGTCTTCAGTGCCAGTAAATTTGTGCTGTCCTCAAAGGGTTAAATTTTACTCCATCCTCGCGGGGTTTCATTTTACGGTTAGTTTACAGTCAACTTAAAATGCTCTTTTCCTGGAAATGAGTTCCAGCGAGTTTGAAAAATGCGCTTTTTAAATATAATTAATTATCGAACAACTGTATTATTAAACCTGTTCTTTCAAAATCATAGCAAAGAGTACGTAATTTTCTACATTCATTTACATTGCAGTAAATTTAACATGCAGTTCGTTGATATGTTCAAAAAGTCTTTTCCCTTATATTTCATCTGAAAACAAAGCAACAAACTTTACTGCAGCTTTTTTTTCGCCAATATAACAATAGTATCGCGTTTGTTTTCAAAGTGATATGCGCGTACAGGTCGTACAGGTCGTACAGTATTTAATGCTCCTGCCCGAGAATGCTTCTTGTATGAAAACCGAGTTCAATGTAAGATAATTGCATCAATTTCCAGCACGACGACTAATGCAAAGGTTAGGATTTGTTGGCACCATTTACAAGACGCTTGTAGGAAAAAACCTATTTTCAAAGAATATGGATAGAAGATCAATTTGCAACGAATTATTCTGAAGAAGTGTCCTGTCCAGATATTACATTAAAGTACTAGAAGTCTTACATATAAATTGTACGAATTAATATTTTGTGGCATATGGGCTAATTTTCACTTTGAAAGAAGCAAATTTTGCACTGTAGGGAAGTTTAATCGAACTACTTCCTTTTATAAGCTATTCACGGTAAAATGAGTACTTTTGAAAGCCCTGCTAGAGATCTACTTGTATGCACGTAGTGTATTATTCCACTTTATCTACGATTAACATTGCCATGGGCCTCGTCGCGTTATTCATGAGTCGGCAAGTGAAACTATGAAATTATTATAAAACTAAATGTTTAACAAATCTACTCATTTTTACACTTCGGTGCATTAAAAAACACAGAAAGCGAAAGAAATATTTTAAGTGATCAGAAATGGTTGCCTAACACTTTTTATTCGACGTTAAGATACGGAACTACTTCCTATCCATCGTTACCAACTTTACTGGGCGCATGTCACTCAGTGCGCCCGTTAAAACACATGCAGGTAGGGGCAGTGGCTTTTATCCAAGGTTGATTTCCAAAGTGCTCACTTTATCGTGAACAGCCTTTACAAGGTTTTCCACCCTGTATGCTGTGCTGCAGGGTAAAAACATTTTTGTCCAAAACAAAAGTGCTGGTCGCGCGATAGTTTTTGTCGTGCAGAAAAGTCTTGTAGTTTGATCGGCTGTACGGTTTTTTACTGTCGTGTCGCACGTGTAGGGTCGAGCTTTATCGAAACGATGTGATTCCGGCATAATGCGCAAAACACTTTGAAGGTGCAGTCTATTAAAAAATGTTTGTTAGAAGGTCATACGAAATCGATACCCAGTCACTTGGTGCCTGAAAATATGAATTAAGTTTCGTGTGGTCCAAATGTCAGTATATCGCAGCGCCCACGAGATCTGGGGGTGCAGCTTTACGCAAAAGAGAAAACTTCGAGAGAGTATGTAGATAAGTACCTACATAGAGAAGAACTGGCGTGGCAGTTCCTTCGATGTAAGCGTACTCATTCTCTGATTGGCTACGGGAGGCTCTGGGAACGAGCCTTGTGTCTGATTGACTGTCGCATATTGCAAATGGGTTCCCTGCTGACTGTGCTGCCGGTTGGCAAGTATAATCCATTCACGGTTACGCCGTAAAATTTTTCTGTAAACTACCTAAACTGTATGGTAATAATACCACATATCAAGCTGCAGATATAGGAATATTTAGCGTCACTACTATACAAAGTTGGGAACTTCCCTATGTATTTGACTATTTCCTGAGCAAATGTAGGAACGCTGCAATGAATATATAGGGGTAAACATTACCATTCCCGCTTTCTCTCTAAGTGTATACACTGGTATGGTAAATCTCCGGATAATTTGTTACAATGTACTTCACACTAGAGCCCTGCTAATGTTCTACTTCCAGGATATTACTCCACTTCGTGCAAACTAAGCTTAAATGTATATAGAATACACCAAAGGACATCGCACCAAATTCGTGCGCACTTAGTTGTAGTAAAAATTTGTATGAGAACTATTTCTTACTAGGCGCTACCAACACGCATGTTTTCTAAACGTTTTTTATAAATAAAGAATTATAATTATAAATTAAATATCGGTAAAACTTAAATTTAACGAAAAACAAGATACTTTCATGTTAACAGAGGT